TATATATATTCGTTTTCCGTTCGGGTCCTTCACAAGTCTGTTTCATTTGACTAGACAAGATAAAACCGGTCGATGTAGATTTTTACTTCCTCCTATGCTCTTGGACGCCACACTGCCTCGCGCAGCTGTGAAAACAAATTGAACACAAGTGTACGATCCAAGGTTGTTCTTTTTTTTGACGTAGGAGATTGCCATAAAAACGAACTGCCCATTGATAAAAAGTTTCCTCCTCCCCTGCGATCTTGTAGCCCATCGGTTTTCGCTTAACCTTGGTTGCCTACTACTATAGAAGTAATTGCGTATAGATTCCATCATAGCTAGCAGCCTCACGACGTAAACAACAGCGGATGCAGTTGTGACAACTGAAACAGAATCTCGTTTGGGTCACGCTCAAACCATGTGCACAATCGGTAAGTTTTGACATCTTATTCGTGAACGCACCCAATTACTACCAGGCATGATGTTGTCGTTTTACTTAGCTGGACCTACGCGTTGTCCATAACCGTGAGATTGCACACGTGCGAGCATATACAGGCGGTCAATCTTCGTTTAAGCACATCCATAGTTTTGCCAAGAAAGCCTGTGATTCAGCTTACCACCTGACCCTCCTAGTCAGGGTGGAACACCCTCATTGCAGTGCCAACATCGTACACATTCTGACGGTTAACCTATTGTCCACAAAGTGAACTCATTCTGACAAACTCAGTAATACATCACAGCTATCTGATGCTTGTTTAGAACCTTCATCAGTATACGTCGTACGAATCTTGATGGGTGATGTGATCCCGCGACCCTCTTGCTGCTCATGACCAATCAATCAGTGCTTCCCACTGTTCGAGGTGATATTCCCATAGAAAACTAAGGGAATCGATGGTGTAGAGGGACGCCATCCACTGCGTGTACTAGTTTAAGAACAGTGAAACGAAACTGTAGTGAACATCTCTTTCTTGATGGAAAAGTAGTCGGTGCTCGAAACCCTCACGTGCACCTCTAAAGAACCTGGACGTTCCTCTCCCTTACCAGCCCAAACAATAATCGCGCCAGCCTATCCGTTCCCCCAGGGTATGTGTTTGCACACACCCTTAGTACTTATAAATGTAGCGCAGTCACACGAGAGCTCACTGATTCAACTAGGTTGCGCAGATTGATTCCCTACCAAATGATGAGTGGACGCTCATGCATAGCAAACTAACACGGCTGCTTAATGTAGATTTCATGTTTATTCCTTATACATGTGTCTAAAGTACTGGTGCGAATGCTGGACTTTGGAAACAGGATTTCAAACTTAATCTCCAAGCCTGTCTCCAGATTTTAACTTCGAAAAGCAACTGTACCCTCTCTACTGAGCAAGGGAATGTAGAAAACTACTGGCACACTAAAACTAAAAGTAGCCATTAATTGGATACTAGTAACCTTGGTTCATCTGCCTCAATCAGTCTTGTAATTCCATTTCTCATGGTTTACTCCACATCCCCATAATTAGTATAAGGTCATACAGTGATTCTGGGTTTCTTCACTTGTTAGGGGGCAGTTAAACTCATTATGGTATCTGAACGAACGATTTCGCGGCCCCTCAGTTTCACATCCGAAAGAGCACTCCTATCCCCTTGCTGGTATCGTGTAAATGGCAAAAACACGAAGTGAGAGCAACGGTTTGATCAAAGCTATCCTTTGAACTGTGTTCAATGTAATCTCTCTTCATGCTCGTGTAACTATCTTTTATATTCTCTCATGCGTTCTTTCTTTTGTTTTAGCATGGGTGCCCAGCCATCGTGTCTGATGATCAGACGGATGGGGCCATAAATGTGTTTCTATCCGAGGCGTCCAAAATCGGTGTGAGTTGTCTAAATTATGGTCAAATATGTTAAAAATCCGCTGTCCAACTGGCACCCCCACTTCTCTCGTTGACTCAAAGATACACACATCCTCATGCAGCATAAGTACGAATTGCAACTTTGTGCAATGAATTTTTCTGGCATCGTTTAGGTTTTTTCTGATAATTCAGTCAACCAGCAAGCTCATAACTTGTCCGTGTATCTGGCCAGCTCCATGGATGAAGTTTTTGAACTGAATACCTCTGATGGGTCTGTGCGTTTCAGTTACGTGGTTTGATTTATTTTCTCAGGGTTAGGGACGTTCGGGCAGTCCTTATATAAGTTCTCATCCAAACGAACCTGCAACATGGGAACCGCACCTACGGGCTTTCTTACGGATGCTTTTCCAACGCTGCACTTACGCATGTGTATTGCTCGTGTGTTCTCATTCGGTTTCTCGACTTTTATTGAGCGTTTCCTAGTATATGGGCTAATGGCCAATTGTGTCTTGCGTACCGACACGTTGGGTCATCTCGAGCCTCACAACGAGCGGCGAAGAAGTTCATATAGTGATGATGTGTAAAGGCAGCCCGTGCGACATTATATCATTTCGGATAAATCACCTGTTTCACTGTTCAGCTAAGGAAGTATTGCTCTGTAGCACCTGAAGCCAACGTACCCTAGGTACATGTCTCATAGCTGGTAAGCCGAACTAACGTCTCCTAGTGAGTCAGTCTCTTAACTCCTCTCCCTGAATTCTCGTACAACAGGATGAGATTTCTCCAATAGAGCTTTCTGTCTATCTGAAGTAAACACTAAGTAGCCATAGTATCGCAACAACGTAACCCCGAGAGCGACTTGTTTTTTCACCATCCGGACGAAAAAAAAGCTCTTTGGCAACAGGGTGCAAGGTCATCAAATTTTATGCATGTAATGTGCACCTACTGTCCATCTACGGTCTGCTTAGATATCAAATGGTAAAATGATATCTCCTTCTTCAGAGCTCTGGACATCATGAAAGCGTCATTTATTGTCTGAACGCCTTGACTTCTAAGACTCCTTCAAGTCTGTGCCTTGAACCGCTTCAGAGTTACTTCGGGAATTTCAAGTGGTGGACAACCTCCAGCACGCATACATACATTCGGTCGTTTCTACCATACGTTCGATTAGTACCCATCGAGCAACGGAAACAGTTTGTCATTCGGGAGACCGCGCCGTGTAGGTTTGGTAATGTCATCCAGATTGAAGTGGTCGTATGAAAACCAGTCAGTTGAGAATGCAAGCACAAGTGTTATTAACTCCCCTAGCGTCCTTTTTGATTATCCTTGTGGCCCCAGTCCCTGATTCTCAAATCCTAGTATCCAATTGACAAAAACTCGGACACTGAAGGATTTACTCTCTTTGTCATCTGAAGCTTCTCGGTAACTTATAGATGCCTGCCGTGCGTATGTAGCTGCAAAACGGCTGCTTAAAATACCTCTTAATTTGAGCGGTTGGGCTGATATATCATACGACAAACAGAGGTCTCATCTTTGAAACCCAGTAAGATAACTTGGGGAAAATTTTGAAGGTCACCGAAAGTTAAAGGAGAGAGATAGAGATTGATCGTTCATCTGTAGCACCCTTCCGATGCCTAATTGCCATGCCACTCAAAGGGAACACGAGGGCTCAGGTACTGCCAGTTTGCCCAAACCTAGACAGGGGAACTCGAGAGGCAGAGGTCGGATCTTCCGGCCAGTAAATTCGCGCTCTAACTACAGCCATCTCGCCCCACCGAAAGTGAGAAAATAGCTTTTCATTCGTTAGCGGACGAACCAATGGTCATCGTTATAACCTGAGCTACCAATATTCTCCTCAACCCCAACCTTCTCATTCTTTCTTCTTTTCCTAAGCTAGAACCGCCTGAAGCTACTAAGTAAAGGCTACATGTTCGGTCCCTCTGGATTCGCCTAAAAAATAAAATTCTCACATGACCGAGGTTTCCGAGGTAGGATTACATCTTTAGCATGGCTACTTCGTTTTATTTAAATTTCTCGTAGTTCGGGAAATACGTACATCGTACTACCGTGCGGGTCTGTTCTCGGGAAAATGTCCGAAAATTACAACCCTGGCATAGGGCCCTTACTGCTCCCAGTATTCTCACGAGTGCACATCGGTCAGTAGCTCTGGTGTTTACCTACTGGCAGCTATACTGATTTCAATGGCCCGATGGGCACCCTCGTTTCTGTGGGTTGGTTTTCTGTTCATATAAAATACTAAGTACTCTCAGTTCGTGCTGTTAGCGAGAGATAGTGCCTAAAATCATTCTTCGAAATGCTTGTGCCTAACAATCCATGTATTCTCGCTGGTTTAGCACACATTTCGCCACACGATTGTAGAACGTTTGTTTTTGAATCAGTCTTTAAACCGTTAACTGATTTTCGTTCAGCACGTAATACATCCCATTGGAAACCAAACACGCAACTTACGAGGATGTTGCCTTGGTCAATTGGTATAAATGGACTAAAGGGTGAAGCGAGGTTGTAACGTAATTATGGGAACACCCAATGGTTCTGTCTCGTCGGGAAGACTTTGAAGATCATTTCAGGCCATTTCACCTCGGAACGCTTGCACATCACTCTGTTGCGCTGAATGTGCGATGACCATTCCCCACACCAGGAGGTCGCTTCCGCCGGTGTCCTCCACGGGGATCCAATCGTTACCACATGCTGGCCAGTCCAACCCCTTCACAAGGCGAAACGGAAGGCAGTTACGGGTGCTATGAGAGGCGAGATCCACTGCCTTGTCTTGTTCAACTATCTCATCGGTGGCACCTATCGGCAGCTTCAATCTTCTCAAGTCCTATATATATATATA